ATCATGACCTGAGCCGAAGGCAGTCGCTTAACCAACTGAACCACCCAGGCGCCCTCTATTGTCTAATTTTATCTTACTTAATTTTCATCACAGTTCTGCCTGGTAGATGCTATCATCCATCCCCATTTTACAGATTTGAAAACGGAGGCTCAAAGAGGCCCTTGTGACTAGAGTCACATTCTAGTGCATCTGAGCTGGGAGTGGGGGACAGCATGTTCTCAAAAGCCATTTGCTTTCTCAACACGTTTTAAGGGAAATATATACTTGTTAAAGATATAGTGGAAAGGTATTAGAGGATTCTCTGTGACAGCAGGACTGTGAGACCCATAGAGAAGGTAGACAAAGGTGCTTCTCCATGGCCAGCTCCATGGGACTCACCTGGGCTCTAGCACCCTCCTCACCTGTCTCCCCTGCTGTGATGTGTCTGTCTGTCCCCTCGCCCCCAACTTGGGGCCTGACCAGGCCTATTCGCAGCCCTGACTTTCAGTGCTGTTCATTAGATAGGGTTAGATATGCAGATTGGATATGGGTAGATAATTCAGGGTCAGAGTGAGGTTGAACAGGGGTCCGGGTTCTCTGCCAGCACCCTCAGAGGTTGCAGCTGGAGGAGGGTGAAATGGGAAAGGGAACTTGTGAGCACTTCCAGCATGGGGCCCCAAGCACGTTTCCTGGGACCTCCCTGCATCTCTGAGTCCATTTCTACAGCAGAGTGCATCCACCAAAGGCCCATCAGCAGCTTCTTTCCTTTCTTTCTCTTTTTTTTTTTTTTGAAGATTTTATTTATTTATTAGAGAGAGAGAGAACATGAGCAAAGAGAGAGGGAGAGGGAGAAGCAGACCCCCTCTGAGCAGGGAGCGTGATGGGGAGCTCCATCCCCATCCAGGACCTGGGATCACGACCTGAGCTGAAAGCAGACGCTTAACTGCCACCCAGGCAGCCCCCATCAGCAGCTTCTGTCTCTTTAGACTGTGAGCTGAAGAAGGACCCAGTGATGGGCCTCTTGGAGCAACGGGAAGGTCCTATAGGGTGAGGCGGGGTTGGGACTAATGGCCCCTGCCCTTCATTTGAGTGAGGCTGGACCATAGCCCTGCTGGGGTAGTACTGCTCACCACGCTGGGGTGTCTGGGCTGGAGGCCATGGGGCCCTGGGGTCTCTAGCCATGGGCATCACTTGTGGTTGTTGGCGTTTCCTCCTTTCCGGACACCTGGGGCACTGCTAAGGGGCAGGTGACCTCCTCTGTCATAATGTTGGAGCGTGAGCGTCAAGACCAAGGTCTGTTGGCGCATCTTCACCATTAACGGGGACATCTCCACCCTTTGTGTGTCTGGTGGAAATTACTTGAGCTCTGTGCTTTGAATCCAGTTTAATAAGTCCTTTACTAAGGAGCTCCTGGAGGGCTGCCCTGGCCAGGGAGCCATGAACCTTCAGACTCAGACACAACAGGTGGGGTTATACGTTGGAGGAGAGAATATGGCTGTGTGGTGTGCCTGGAAGCCCACATTGTCCTCCCCACTCCTTTGCCCCGTTGATTTCTTCTCTGGTGAGGATCCACAAGGCCACTGTCCAAGTCACAGGCTTTCTGCACCCCACACCACAATGTTAGTCCTTTCCCGTAACACATCAGAGTTCTCATACACACCAGGTGTCATCTTGGGAAGTCAGGGCAGCACTTTCAGGGTGACAGAGTTTGGTGGCTGTGGGCAGGGAGGAGGCCGCAGGCTGGGGGCACAGAGCAGGTGAATCCACTGGGAGGTTTCAGGGGGAGCTGCTTTTTCTCTTCTTACCACCGATGGTGCGCTAAGTGACAGGCACTTTATAAGTGTTTTCTAGTTAATCCTCCTGACTTTATAAAGTGCTGTCACTATCTCACTTTTACTGGTCAGGGAACTAAAGTTTAGGGAGGGTAATCTCAAAATCACACAGCTGGAAAAGAGTTGAACTCAGATGTGGTACACCCTGACATGCATGGTCTCACTCACCGAGTGACCCCCACCGTTCCCTACCTCGGCCTGAGCTGCATGAGAGGTGCTGCTTATTGGTGGAACTTTACCCATTTGGGAGGTGCTCAGACGCCCCTTCAAGGCAGTTACCTGTGAGGCCCGGGAAGGGAGACTGAGGGTCTCCCCGTGCCATGCAGCCCCGGAGGCCTCAGAACTAGGGCTTTGTGTGGGAGCCATGAGCAAACACAGGTGCATTTCTGCCTCCCAGGGCTCTGAGCCTGGCTTCCCCAGGAAATGGGGCTGGCTGCTTTCAACAGCATTTTCCTCTTGCAAAAGCAGTATTTTTTTTTTCAAAACCAGCCTCTTCTTCCTCTCATCCGCAACCCCTCTTCACAACTGAGCGATAAACAGATTTCACAGCCCCCAGCTGTGCCAGTGTGGGTGATTCTTACCAGGACTCTGGCCACATTGGACCTGGACTGTCCCCTGCTGGGGGGAATCCACTTCCCCTCGAGTCTGTAGAAAACCCCAGGCAAGGGCTGAGTGAGGGCCTGGCAGGGAGATGAGAGCAAGGTGCGGTGGAAATTCCAGATGGTGGTAAATGAGAAAAAGCTGCCCTCCCCCCATATTATGTACAGTGTGATGACACCCGGGGCAGGAGTATGTGGACAGGTCACAGCTGGGAGAGAATATGGAACCACAAGATAAATTCTCTTCAAGATGAAACAATTCTCTGATATGTTTTACAACAAAAAAAGTTTTAACAAAATGCAAAAAGAGGCTCAGTACCGTCTGGTCCCCTGCTGGGTTGTGGTGCCAACACTAGAGGCAGGGCACCCGGTAAACAGGCCTCCTCTGAGCTGTCTTACACTTCCAGAGGGTCCCTGAGGGCGCTCTTTGGCCCATCAGCCCCCTGCCCTGATACCATCCAGCATCATCCACAGGTGTGGTTGGGTCTTCCAGAAACCCCCGCCCCCCGGCCTTTGCATGAGCTCCTCACTGGCTCCTTCACCCAGTTGTCATCCCCTAGAATGTCCACTGCACAGGGCAGGGGTTTTTACTTTTGGGTCACTGCTGTGTCCCTGACTCTGCTCTGGGACTCTAGGCAGAGCATTTAGTCCACACCCTAGGAGCTCCCATTCCGACAAGTGGCCAGGCAAGGACCGTGCACTGGGATATGGGCAACGATGGTGTGGGCGCGAGCTTTGGGCTCTGTGCCCCCAACCCAGATGTGGCGGTGGGTTGTCAGGAAGGCTTCCGGGAGGAGGTGATAGCTTGGCCTGATCTTGGAAGATGAGTGTGAGCTAGCCACACGTGACATGGAGGACATTCCAGGCTGAGGATCAGAATATATCCCCTGCCCACCCTCATCTGTGTGCCAGGCTTCCCAAAGCTTTTGGATAGCATCCACGAGCCTCTTCGCTGTCATGGGAGCAGACTCGCCTGCAGAGTGGATCAGTGTTTGTAGGGAGAGAGAAGTCGCCTCGTGAGGCATGATTTAAAGATGAGGCCCGGACTTGGGGGTGTCATAATGCTGCCTCCTCCTCCCCACCTGCCTGGACTGACACCATCCCTTCTTCTTGCTCACAGGCTCTTCAACTCTTGCTTACCTAAGCAGCCGTTTCTTTTCCCCTAATGATCACTGGGGTGACATTCCTCCCTTCGGCCTGTTCATTGCCACTTCCCTTTGTTCCCCAGGGCAAGAGGAAGTGGTGGGGGAAGGGGGTCATGAGTCTGGTGACCTTTCTTAGGAGGAGGGGTGGTTCTAGTGTGGCTGTTATGGGTTGAGCAACACACCCCTCACCATTGCAACTTTGCAGGGCGGGTGGGAGGGCAGCTGACTGGAGTTGCTGTGGGGGGGCTGGACATGGGCGCCTGAGCCCCCGTGTCGTTGAGGGTGCCATTTGAGGCATAGAATTCTGGAGTTGCCAAGAAGTAGGTTGCATCTGAAGCTAGAGAGCTCTTCTTTCTGTTTCCCATGGAATGTGACAGCTGGGGAGAGACCCCTGCCCCAATTTTAGGCAGGCCTGGGAAATGGAAGCACACGCTTCTGTTTCTGTTCGTCGGGTCAGCCTGCTCCTTGTGCAAGCTGGTGCTGTCGGCGCAGGACTGCTCGGTTGATCCGGGGGCGCTTCGGGCTTGCTGCTCTCCCCCCACAGACTAGAAAATCACAGTATAGATGGTCTTTCATTTAGTCTCCTCAGATTCCCTTCTGGAATTCTTCCTCACACTTTTGCAGCTTGAGGTGCCTCACACCCCGATGCCAGACACATGCATGCACGCACACGCACATTGGGGCCCTCACCTTTGTCTCCTTGTCCTGAAACCGTGCCTCTGAACTCTGAGCCCAACAAGACTTACTCATTCTTTCCTTAACCGGCTGCCAAGTGGACAAAGATTTAATCAGCTCATTTGCCCTGATTAATTAAGGCTTACTATGTCACCTCTGGGGTATTCTGCCTTGTACCTGTGATGATGGAAACTAAGCCTTATAACCTAAAAGGTAAATTGCTGGCCCTCCCAACTGCAGGTGGGGAGGCATAAAAGGAGGGTCCATCCCACGGTGCCCACCCATGCCTTCCATACAGCAACCAGAGAGGGCATGAGGCAGGCGGGTCCTGGGGACCCACCGAGGCCCCCGTGGGGGCCTCAGAGACCTTGTGATGCATGGGAAGCCTGACCGCTTGCTCATCTTTCCTTTGCCCAGACGTTCACAGCATGGTGCAACTCCCACCTCCGCAAGGCGGGGACGCAGATCGAGAACATCGAGGAGGACTTCCGGGACGGACTGAAGCTCATGCTGCTGCTAGAGGTCATCTCAGGTGAGGTGGGCCACCCTGGCCGAGGACGAGGTGCTTGCCTGCTGGGTTCGGCCACTTTGGGGATGCTGCCCCGACAGCTCGGCTTCTGCTCTGCCTTTGCTCATGGTGAGCTTTGGGTCTCTTGAAAGAAGTTGGGGGTGCCACGTGTGAATTCAAACTAGGAGACTGGGTTTGGTCCTGGCTTTGCTGCTGACCGTCCACGTGTCCTTGGACAAGCCACTGCCTTTCTGCCTCAGCACCCTCATTTGCAAAACAAGGTCAACCATGGCTGACCATCTCCAAACCTTGGCTCCACTAGTACCTCTCCACCTATATGCAGCTGATCTCACTCCCTTATCTGGCCCCCAGGGTAGAATTTGGATGTCCAGAAATCCGGAGAGACAGCTCCCCTTGAATGCAGATCTCCACTTTCTTATGAATACCTTTCCTCCACCATGCCTTAGAGGTTGGTGGTTCCAACATTCTCGCCTTGGTTCATACGCTGGGTATCTTAGCTACTCTCTTCACTTTACCTTCTACCTCGACACCAGTGAGTCCCAGACCAGGTCTCAGTCCAGCCTTTTCCCTCAGGCCCCATCTCCACCCAGATGTCCCCCAGTGCCCCCTCAGCATGCCCAAGACTGTGCGGACTACCCTTGGCCCTGACTGACCTCTTTCCTCCTATAATCTCCATCTTGTTCTCCTGAACCTAATGTAGGCATCAGAGACCGCTCTTCCTTTGCTTTGCTTTCCAAGGTGGCATTCAGGTTCTGTTCATTCTATTTCCTTCTGTTAGCCGTTTAACCTCTGCTGCCGTGGTGTCAGCGTGGGCCTGCGTCAGCTCTCACCTAGATGATCCCCAGAGGCCTTCGACCCCCTCCCAGCTCCTTCCCCACTGCCGCAGTCCGTCCCCCGCACCACAGCCAGCCAGAGGGGCCATCTGACGGCCCAAATATGGTCTCGCTGTTCCCTGCCCAGAACCCTTCAGTGCCTCCCCAGGGCTTGAAGCCTGCAGCCCATATTCCGTAGCATAGCTCCCAGGATCCTTTGTGAGCTGGCACCTTTTTGGTTTTCAACTAACTTCCCAAAAAGGTATCAGACCTCAGACCTTCTGCCACCCCAAGAGACACGCAGTCCCCACCAAGGACAGGCTCTCTGCTCTCTGTGCTTCTGCATAAGCTCCAACTGACTTGTTCCCCAGTACTTTTAAATATCTTCTTGCAGGTGAAATCTGTGTGTCGGAGGGTGGGGATGGGGGATTGTGTGTGTGCGGTATAAACTACAGAACATAAGATTTAGCCTTTTGAACATTTTCAATTTCATTGAGTATTTCGTGCACTCCCATTGTTGTGCAGACCCACCAGTGTCCATCTGCAGACTTCTCCGTCATCCTGCACTGAGACCCCATGCCCATTAAACACTAGCTCCCCGGTCCCTTCTCCCTCGAGCCCTGGGCAGTCACCCTTCTCTTAGTCTCTGTGTGACTGTTCTCAGTACCTCATATTAGTGGAATCGGACAGTATATGTCCTTCTGTGGCTTATTGCATTGTAATGTCTTCCAGGTTCATCCACGTGTCAGACTCTCCTTCCTTTTTAAGGCTAACATTCCATTGTACATACACACTGCATTCTGTGTACCTATTCATCTTCTGATTCACATTGGGATTGCTTCTACCTTTTGGCTATTGTGACTAGCACTGCGGTGAACATGGGTGTACAGGTATCTTATTTGAGTCTCTGCTTTCAGTTCTTTGGGGTCAATACCCAGAGGTGGAATTGTTGGACCATATGATAATTCTATGTTTAATTTTTTTTAGGAACCATTTTTAGGTACTGTTTTCCTCTAACTGCCTTTTAGAATGTCCTACCCTGCCTCCTCTTCCAACATTTCTTAGTTTACACAAACCTGGTATTGTTCTTTTTCATTCTTTAAAACTCAGCTCAGAATTTGCTTCTAGGAAGGCTTTCCCCATACGAGTGGCTGTCCTCCTCTGGGCTCCTGTCACACCCCATTCATCCCTCTGTTGTGTCCGTTTCCCCATGGCATGATCATTTTTGGCCCATTTGTGCTTTTCCCCATTCCACCCTGTGCTGCTTGGGGCAGGGACGGTCTCATCTCTGTGTCCCAAGTGCTCAGAATAGCACTTGGCATGTATGTGATGCTCAACAAATTATCAGAGTGACCAGATGCCCTGCACTGGGCTTTTCTGCATAACTAGCAGCATTTTCCCCACCGAACAGGCGGGCCTTTGCACATCTGTGAACTGGACTTGTCTCTTTCCCTGGGGTGGGGGACATCAAGTCACTGAGACATTGCCTTTTCCTCCTTGAGCATCGTGAGGTGAGTAGAAAAGCAGAAAGAAAGGGCTAGTGTCCCGAGAGGTCCTCTGAGTAGCGTCCCCGGACCACCCACACCAGAATCCGCAGGACTGCTTGTCCACATGCAGAATCCCAGGCACACCCCAGACTTCCTAAATTAGAAACTTAGGAGGCAGGAGAAGGGGGCTGGGCATCAGAAGCGCGAGAACTGCTGGCTTCACTGCCTTCCCTGTCCCAATGGAGAAGTCCTGTTCCAGCCAGTGTGCACAGCTGGGGCGCTGGCTGGGGAGCCTAGGCTCGGCATGACCTAAGGGCTGGGGCTTTAGCAGGAGAGCCTTCAGGGTGGGGGTGGGATGGGGTGCTGCCTCATCCATCCTATGGGAGGGAGTCCCCGGGGCATTTCATCTGCCCAGGGGGATGGTGGGGTACCTAGCTGGGGAGGCTGAGCAACGGCCACAGCCTTGGGAGAGCTGCAAGTGGAAAGTCTTAATTTAATCATAAAAACCCAGCTGTGCTTCCCTGGGAGCTGCCAGGCCTAATCACATCTGTGGCAGGAAGTCTGCTCTCGAGAAGCCGGTGGCAGGGGAGGGTGGTGCTGGGAGGCCCCCTGGAGAAGTGCTGCTACCACATTGTGGCAGCCCCGCTCCTTGAGCGGTCACGGCGAGGCTGCTTACATGCTGGGTGTGGCGGGGTGGGGATGTGCGGCGAGGCGGGGCTGGAGACCGTGGCAGGTGCAAGGGTCCTGAGTTTCGGGCTCTAGGATGGTAGTTCTCAGCCTTTTGGTGTCCCTGGCCTTTTAGAGACTCTATAGCTATGTGCACTTCCCCCTGCTATGGGCACGCATGAGTTTTAATTCGTGCCTCTGTTCTGAGCTGAAAGTGCTCTTAACGGGGTGTTTGGAAAACCAGCTCTTTTCCTGAAGCTTCTGACCCTGGAACCTGCGTTGGAGGAGGGGGCGGGCTGAGGGTGGGGAGTTGGCTTGGAGCTGAGCCAAGGAGAACCCACAAGAGGCAGCAGTTCTCCAGCGAGAGAGGAACACCGTGGGCAGCTCCGTTTAAACACTAGGGGACTTTTTCAGAATATTCTAAAGTGCCCACATATCTTCCCAGGCCAAACAGTATAGACTAGAAGGGGTTCAGAGCCTTTGCACGTGCTGCTCCTTCTGCCTTGATCATCGCTCCCTGCTGTCACGGCCCGGCTGCCCTCCCACTCGGAGGCCTTTCCTAACTATACCACAACTCCATCCCCCACCTGCCCTCCTTTGCATCCTCTTTATAAGCATTTATCCTTCTTGATGTTTGTTCATTTGCATATATTTGTGTGTTTCTCTGTTTGAAGGTCTGTCTCCTCCTGGGCCAGAAGTGCACGAAGGCAGGAAAGTGTTTTGTTCACCCCTATATTCCTAGCACCGAGCCAGGTCCCGGACATACGGGGCTTACTACAGATCTGTTGGGTGGAGGCAAGCAGTTGAGGTCTGAGAAGTGGCAGGAAAGAGGCAGGATTGACTCTCCCTGTTGTTCCCTGCGAGGGTGGCCCTCATTGCTCCTGGACGAGGGTGTCATGAAAGCAGCATCCCGGGAAACAGCATCTGATCCTCCCTGCCCCCCCCCTTGGTCTGCATTCAGGGGAGCGCTTGGCCAAGCCGGAGAGAGGCAAAATGAGGGTGCACAAGATCTCCAACGTCAACAAGGCCCTGGATTTCATAGCCAGCAAGGGGGTCAAGCTCGTGTCCATCGGAGCTGAAGGTGAGTGAGGCCTGCCGTCTGACTGCTCTACGGAGCCTGATTTTCTGCTCCCTGTTCTCTTCGCCTTTTCTGCTCGACTCCCGGGTTCCCACACCCCTGGGTGATTGGGAAGTGGGGCCACCAGCACCTCCATCTGGTCGACCTGTGGATTCTTCATGTAACAACTACACTTTCCATCCAGTCTCTGCCCCCTGGAAAACCAAGGGCCTGCTCCCTGCTCCTGACCTCCCCCAACACCAGCCGAATCCTGGTGCCCTGAGATCCTGTGAGAGTGGAATGCCACCTCCCTCACCCACAGGCCTGCCTGCACTTTGCTGCCCGGGGCAGAGAATTCTGCTGCCTGCAGAGTGTCAGACCCGGGCTGGGTGGAGGGTGAAGGCTGCCTTGAGGCCCCACGGAGCCCTGGGAAGACTGATGTCCAGAAGCCTTCAGGAATATTCCTAATAGCATTTCTCTGCAGATTAGCTTCTTGACTCTTTCTCCTTAGCTTGAAAAAAAAAAATTTTAAAGCTCAGTATAAATTGTTATTCGTTTGTTCTTAATGGCTTAAGAGAGGCAATGCAGTTTTTTGTGTGTACTGTGGTGGCCCCAAAGGATTTGGGGAGGGAACACTGTAGCCAGGCCCTGTCAGCACTGCGCCCCTTGGATTCAGCCGGGGCTCACTGGGCACCTGCTGTGCGTGCCAGAAATCTCAAGCTAGGGAGGGTTTCCATCCATTCGTTCATCATTTGATGTATGTGCACAGCTGTGATCCCGAGCAACGCACTGTGGCAGGTACTATGCAAAAGCCCTTGGTGCTGGCAATCTCGCGGATCCCTCCCACAGCCTCTCTGGTGGCTCTCGTTATTATCCTCATTTGATGAGAAGGAGCCAGATGCCTAACGAGATGAAGTACCTTGCTGAAGGTCCCAGTGTCAGTAAGTGGCAAAGCCAGAGCTCAGACCAGGTCTGTGTCTGAGAAATCCCGCTAGAGTGTGGCCTTTTCTTGAAGAGGGCAGGGGACTTGCTCCAGCAAATCAGAGGAGTGCATCTCTTTTCTGGTGGGATGAGTCTAAAGGCCTCCCCAGCCCCCCTTTCTTTCCAGAAATTGCGGGATTTTATATTGCTACATCAAACGCGAATGTTCGCACAGTATGGGCAACCCCCAGTCCGCGGTGTCAAATCCGGCCGACACGGGTTTTCGTAAATATTGGAACCCAGCCACACCTGTCTGTTTACATATTCTCTGTGTCTGCTCTCCTGCTACAATGGGCAGAAGAGTTGTGACAGAGACCGTATGGCCTGCAAAGCTGAAAATATTTCCTGTCAGCCTTTGGCAGAAAAATTTTGCCAAGCCCTGCCTTCCTGGGGCTCAGGCTCATGCTTGAGCAGTTGTGGGTGCTGCCTCATGTGTCCCACCCAGCACATCTTCAGCTGTGAAGCAAAGACCGAGTCTCTATATCCGTGTGGCGCACACAGCAGGTGCTCAGGAAATGTTCGAAGGACTCGCACCTAGCGGGGTACTTTGTTCTGTGAGTGGAAACATATTCTCTGCTTTTTAAAAGAGTAGTTTACTCTCTTAGGGAAGATTAAAGACTTGGCAGAAAACGTTTCAACTAAGCAGGGCTGGGAAACCAGAGAAGATGGCGCTCAGCTGGTCTGGTGCAAGCTCACATGCCCCCTGGGACAGGGAAGTAAAGGATGTGTAAGGGGGGCCAGGGGTGACGGTAGGGATGGGTGGGGATGGTGTGGAGAACTGGGGAAGGCATGTCCTTCTAAGTGGGGCACCTACTAATCGTTTGTTGCTGTGGGGGAGATACAGGTCCAGCATGGCTAGATCTTCCCATTTTTTCAAAAGAAGCCAGAAATCCAGATTTTTAGAAAGAAAAACAGCTACCTAACAATATATATATATATTTTTTTTAACTCTGAGGTCCAAAGGGGAGGAGGAAGGGGGAAGATGGGAGAGAAGAAGAGCATTGGTTCTAGCTCTTTGGCTAGACAGGATGCTAGGCATGGGCTCTCCCCTTCCACCTGTGGGCAGGCCTGTAGGGTGGGTATCACCAGCCACATTTTATAATCAAGGCAACTTAGGCTGAGAAAGTTGTTAGGGCGGAAGCCTGTGGTGTGCTTGAGCATGGGTTCTGGACCAGACTCCTTCCATGTGGCAGAGCCAGGATGAGCCTGGGAGTTTGGGCTCCAGAGCTGAGGTCTGAACCTATTCCCATAGCTGCGGACATGGTGCGCGGGGGCCGAGGACAGGACTTTCTTGTCTGCTTTTCCTCAGCTGCGGAGGGGTGGGTCAGGTTGGCTGTGCCTGCCTGGGCAGAGGGCGAGGAGCAGAGACAACCTCGGGCATAAACTCCACCGGCCCCTCTGACCTTCCGGGAAGTCAACCTAGCTGGCCTCGGATTTCCAGCTTTTCTCACACAGGCCTCACTTCTCTGAAGATTTTGAAAGGCTCCTTTAAAATGAGATAATCCTGACCTCCTCACTGCCCTAGGGAGTCCGTGCTTTAGGCCGAGCCTTCCACTTTGAAATCACCTCTCCTGTTTCAAACTGAGCACTCAGATGAGGCTGGGATGGTTGCTCGGCTGTGCCAGGAAACTGGATGAGGCCACAAATGGGTTTTGTTTATTGTAATGAAGTGCAGTTTATTGCTGTAGACTATAACATAAAAGGCAGTGGAGCAGATCCCTTGGAGTAAGTGCTCGTGGGGGTCCAGGTGGGGAGAGATTTTGCCGGTTACGCTGAGGAGCGTTCTGGGCTGAGGGGGGCAAGCCCAGCATGGGCAAGACCCCAGATCTTTAAAGGATTATCACGTGGTGCAGGACTAGACTCTGGTGAACCCCTGAGGGGCAGACCCAGGCCCAGGAGGCCCTATGGGAATGGAATGGCTGCTCTGGAGGGGCATATGGGCCCTGTCCCTGGAGGTGTGCGCTTGGAGGCTGAACGCAAGGAATTTCCGTATGTCCAGGAGGGATTAAAATAGATCCTTAGGGTTTCCTGTACCATACTTGATTTAGAATGTCTAGACTTCATGGAATTGAGGCTTGACCTAGGTGAGTGGTTGGGATTTAACCAGGTGAGAGGACCCGGAAGGATTTTTTGTCTTAGGATCTTTGGGCGGGGTGGGGGGGCCTTGATGGCTTTGGGTGCCAAGAGCCTGGGCGTGATCTTGATAATTGATCACCTGTCCTTGGGGCGGAGGGGGTGGTGGGTGCAGTAGCTAAAGCATGGGTCTGGGAGCTTGGTGACCCCCAGGGGTCTAGTTTCTGTCATGTGGAATGTCTTCATTCTACCGCCTGAATCCTGGGTGGGTGACTGCATCCCTGGGGTGGGGGCAGGGGGTAAATGCAGGATGTGAATGCTTCTTGGCTGGCTATAGGCCAGGAATGGCAGAAACATGCCCCCCCCTTCTTCTCGTACCCACAGCATACATTATAGTCCATTCTCATGTTTTGTCCACAGGGCCCAGTTGTGGCCTGGGGACCCTCCTTTTGGACCCAGCATGCTTGGCAGCCCCATGACATAAAGCTGCTGGTGAGATGGGGCCTCCCTGATCCAGACATACAGATGCCTGGGAAAAGGATTTGCTCTGGGGGTGGGACAGGGAGCCAGTGGGCCCTGAGGCTGGGGTGGGGCATGGGGTGTCAACACACCCCACTCTTTTTGCCTGTACTTGGCTCTCCTGTTTCCTGCAGGATCTGGTATGAGTGAGAATTCAGTGAGCAATTCAGTGAGTTTCTGGGGGAAGGGAGAGAGGAATAAGTAGGCAAGACCCCCAAAAGAAGCCACTCTTGTCTCCCTTAGTGCTGAGAGGGCACTGAACTCAAGGCCACAGGAGGCCAGGTATTTGGCCTTCACACGGGCACAAGAGGGGGCTATAGGATGGGGCAGAGGCGGGGGCCAGTGCTGCAACCTCTGCTCTTGGAAAGGTCAAGAGTGGAGGCCTCTTTCACCGGAGCCTCTTCTAGACGTTAAAAAAAAAAATCCCCTGTATTTGAAACACCGTCCATGAAATTTCACACTTGTTTTTCCACTTTCCATATTATAAAGATTTCTCCAGGTCATTAAAAACTCGTGAATGTAATTTTTAGTGGCTATGTTAATTGCTGAGCATAGCTGTGCTCTGTTCCAGATCTGGGTCTTGCCCTGGAGGAGCCTGAGTGTGGTTATGTTCTCCCAGCCACAGACCTGGGAGCCCTCCAGTACTCATTCATTCATTCATTCATTCATTCAACAAATGTTGATGGAGGGCTGTCTGTGGGCCAGGCACTCTGCTGGGCTCTAAGCTGTGATGCAAAATGGAAAAATTGTTCCCCTCGTGGAGCTTATGCTCTGGAAAGGGGGAGAGAGAAAACACACACACACAGGTGTCAGGTGGAGAAAGATCAAGCAGGGAGTAAAGTGGGAGGTTTCCAGGAGAAGATGAGGTGGAGATGGAGGGAGGTGAGGGGCGAGTCCCGTGGATATCCAGGGAGGAGAGAGCTATGGGGAGGGTGGAGGGGGACTGTCAGGGCTTCACTGGCCGCTGACTTTGACTCTGAGTCAGGTGGGAAGTCGTGGAGGTTCTGAGCAGATGGCTGACGGGCAGGACATCTAACTCCATCACACCTTGTACTTAGTATATTCTCGCTTTCCAACTTGGGGCCATGATAAATGACCCTCTTCTGTACAGCAGCCTTAACTCTGTATGTCAGATCATCGGCTGGGTGTAGATTCCTAGAGGGAGACTTCACTGTCAAAAAGTTGAACAATTTCGGGGTCCCTGGGTGGCTCAGTCAGTTAAGCATCTGCCTCCCCTCAGATCATGGTCCCAGGGTCCTGGGATCGAGTCCTGCTTCGGGCTCCCTGCTCAGTGGGGAGCCTGCTTCTCCCTCTCCTTCTGCCTGCCACTCCCCCTGCTTGTGCTCCCTCTGTCAAATAAATAAATAAAATCTAAAAAAAAAAAAAGTCAAACAACTTCAAGATGCTTGATCCTGTTGCCAAATTATTTCCCAGAAAGTTGTTGTTGTTGTTTTAACATTTATACAGACGGTATGAGCATGAGCGGGAAGGGCAGAGGGAGAGAGAATCTAGAGCAGACTCTGTGCTGAGCCTGGAGTCCGACGTGGGGCTCGATCTCACGACCCGGAGATCACATCCTGAGCTGAAACCAAGAGTTGGACGCTTAACCAAGTGTGCCACCCAGAAAGTGTTTTTTTTAAACCAATTTACACTAATAGCCACAGTGTGCCAGGTAGGCTTATTACCATCAACACACATGAAGGTGTGGGTTCCTTGTTTTTTAACTTTGCTAATTTAATAGCTGGGAAGATACTATCTTCTTTAATTACAAGAGAAATTGAACATACTTATAAATTGGTTATATTTCATGCTTTGTGAAGTATTTATTCAGGTCTTTTGCTTATTGTGAATTTGGCCTTTTTCTTATCAATTTATATAAACCCTTTAAACATTATAGATATGAAACCCCTGGAAATCACAAATAAAAGGGCATTTTTTAAAAACCAGATCTTTATGAACTGATTCTTAGCTGATTGACTGCCTCTGCGTCCCCCGAGCGTGCTCTGCACAGTGCTGGCTGGCTTTTTGCTTCTTAAAGGAGATGGTCATGTACTGCTCATTTCTGTCTCTCACCCAGGCCCTCCTCCGACTCAGGTCTGTGCCCCACTGGTGTCTGCGGTTCTGGGAGGGTCATTTAAGGCCCTTGTTAGCAGGAAGAGTTACATCCTGTCCCCTGCCCGACATGGACACTTTTCATCCTCAGCACCCCGATGCAGGCTCAGCGGAGTTGCCCGCCCTGCCGGGAATTAGCAACAGCGCTCTGTACCTTGTTGGGCCAATAGCGGCTCGCAGTTTTGCCCTCCCTTTTGAGGAAGGCGATAAGATCTTAGAATATCATTTCCTTAGTGGAATCCACTCTTGCTTAATGGGTTTGTGGGAAGTAGACCCTAGTGGACATGGGCTCAGGATATTGGGAGTTCCTGCAAGTTACCCCTTCTCATGGTTCTGTTAGGTTTCTCCTATAGTCAGTTTTTCAGGTTGGAAAAAATAAGATATTCTTTGGATGCCAGACTGTTAGCTGAGAGTACCTTGCCAGGGGCTGGGTTACTGTCTCCTGATTTGGAAGCAGGTGAGGGTAAGGAGTCTACATTTGATTGCCACAGGCTCAGCCCCCAAGACCTTAAACGGCTCCCTTGTTTTAGGCTCCTTAAAGACAGGTATTTATGTTTGTATTCTCTGCCTCTGGGCCTGGTACAGGAAAAAGAAATTACTTCATAGAATTTATAGCATTTTTTTAAAGTCTAAAAAGTGTTACTTAGACTGAATTTAGCGGGTTATCTCTTAATTGTGATCTTGAAGCTGTTGTTTGATTTTTTAAAAAATATGCATTTGATACCCAAGGGTTGATTTGTGACTTAGTGGATCCTTCAAGATGTCAGTTTACAAACCTTTGTTGGATTGATTCCTTTCTGTTGCCTACACTGGCTTTTTGGGTATGGATGGCTATTTTGAGAGCTGTGATTGCCCAGACTTCTCCAACTCACAGAGTTGCCAGAACACTTGTGATGTCTCCCTCTTCTCTGTCAGTCTCTCTTGCCTTCCCTGATGCACCCACTGGAATTGATCATCTATCTCGTGTTCCCTGGGTCACCCCCAAATAGACTTCTCTCCTGGCACCTGTGATATCTAATTGTACTTTTAAAAACATACTTACTTTTTCCTAAAACTGGAGCTGTGTGGTCTTTGATTTCCTATGTGGTACATGCAGTGATGTGGGCACTCTGGGAATTTTAACTCTGCCCCTGCTAACAGCCATCCTAACATGTCCCGATGCCATTTCTGTAGAAATTGTGGATGGGAACGTGAAAATGACCCTGGGCATGATCTGGACCATCATCCTCCGCTTTGCCATCCAGGACATCTCTGTGGAAGGTGGGTCTCCTGCTGTTTCATTAGTCCCCAAGCCCCCTCCCCCCGCCCAATCAACCCTGCCCTCACCATCACGTCTTCCTCCCTGAGCTCAGCCTGGAGAACCCCCTGACCCCTGGCAGTGGGGACCCAATTGTGGGCCACATCCTGGCCCCAGGGAATCCCACTCACTTTGGGACTGCCCAAGGGTGCTGTGGGAAAGTATTGGCTCTTGGGTTGTTAAATCCAAAAGGGCAGGGAAATAGCTTGGCAGCCAGGAGGCTGTGTTGCAGGATTCCGAGTGGACCCAAGGTCTTCCACTTCGCTCCCATAGCCCCCTCTGGTGGCCACGTCACAGATCTTTAAGAGGCCACTAATAGTCTGGGGCTGCGTGATCTCTTTAAACTTTTGGTTCCACGCTCCAGCAGTTTTTGAGCTTTATTATCTGATATGTGTATATTTATTTTGTAATAAATTGTATTTGTGTATTGATATTTGTATTATGAAACACACATACCAAAACAAATTTTAAAAAGGTGAGATGGAGATAATATTTTAAAAATATTTTTTATTCATGGGGTGCCTGGCTGGCTCAGTTGGTGGAGCCTATGACTCTTGATCTTGGGGCTGTGAATTCGAGCCCCACACTGGGTGCAGAGATTCCTAAAATAAATAAATAAATACGTAAACTTTACAAAATATATTTTTATTCATATTCATGGCCCAGGAATCTTATAAATATTTTTATTCAAAGTAATTCTTTTGATGGGAAGAATGTGGAATAAATTGCTTCCTTCTGGAAATTTTGGTTTGACACATGATGAGATAGCCATGTGAAGGCCTAAGTTTGGTTTATAGATGCTTGGTATTTAGGGCTGAAGCGGTTAAAAAGGTGTCCACAGTAGTCACTTCGAACATGGTTCTTGTGAGTGATGGTGGATATAAATCCATTTTCAAATTGCCTTCTTGGTGAGATCAACTTGATTCTTTGGGGGCTGATTTCTTGTTAGCTCTGGTTAAATTGTCATTGTTTTAATCTTGTAATATGGCTGATGAGCTTGAGCTGAGGAGAAGCATTAGCTTTGCTGATTTTTTTCATTGTTTGCTTATGCTTGAAATACTATCTTTGCAGAAATCATGTCATGTCATTTTAAAGTCCATTTTGTGAATTGAGAGTAAATGAGATCACCCATGAACCCTCTTTGCTGGGGTTCCATTTCTGCAGTTCACAGATGCGAGCACATGGGGGCAGAGTGGTTTACAGCCCTTCTGCGCAGGGAGCTCCTGCGGTCCCCTCAGATGCCTACCTGCTTTACCTTACAGACATGTGTCTGCTTCACACATACAGCAATGGCGTCCACCTATGCATTAAATATAAGGAAACTTTATTTTTTAGATGATCCTAATGCTTCTGTCCACCACGGTTGTGTGCACTCTACACCGCCTGAATACCCCAATGCGGAGATCCCAGGACTTCAGATTTCATGGGCCAGTCAAACATAGACCTGACATGGGTTGCTGATTTACTTTGTAATGCTCCCTGTCTTTGAATAAAAGGGAAGGATGGGGAAGAGATTCTGAAAGTTTGAAAGGCCATTAGATCAGTATTTACGTGTGTTATGTGGCTAGCTCGTAAACGCTGCCTCACTTGCTTCTTTGTTTCTCAAATAACTTCTCAGACTTTGTTGAGGAAACAGACTTAGTGGCCTGGTAGCCCCAGGGTTGGCATCTAGGGGTCTTTGTATAGACCCCTCGTGTGGCGGAGCATGGACCCCTTGGGCACAGTGGGTGGGGCTTCCCACACACTGACCTCTCTGCCTGCCGCCCCCCTCCTCACAGAAACTTCTGCGAAGGAAGGGCTACTCTTGTGGTGTCAGAGAAAGACCGCCCCCTACAAAAACGTCAACATCCAGAACTTCCACATAAGGTGAGTGGCTGGGGGCTGAGGGACTCTTGCAGAACCTGGGCTGTTCTCCCAAGACCCTCCGGCCCCCTTTGGCTGGGTTCGTTTCAACTCTAGAACAGAGCAGAGGTCCCTGGGGAAGAAGTTGCTTTCGAGGGGCGGGTGCCACAGACCCTCCGATGCCACCTTCCCTCCCAGCGGTGCCTTCGATCTAGCTGCTGCTACATAAGCCTTCGGTTGATGCTCCTCGAACTGCTGGGAAGCTCCCCAAGGAGAGTGTCCAGAAAGTTCCAGCCTGGGGCACTGGAACAGAGCAGAGAAGGGGAGGGGATGGAGACCTTGGTGGAGAGTAGAGTTGGATGTGGTAGGTGTCTCAACTTGCCAGGCCCCCAAAATCTTGACCCCAGTGCCTGGGATTGCGGCAGGAAGAAATGCTGCTTCCCATCCTGTCTTCTCCTCACTCCTGCTCCGAAGCACTGTGTGTTCATCTCTGGAAAAAAGGAGGACCCTCCCCTGCAATCCTCGTTTAGAGCTTTCCCTTAGTTAATGCCCAGTCCCATTCACCAGCTTGCCCCCCGCCTTCTCTCTCCCTCGGGCAGCTGGAAGGATGGCCTTGGCTTCTGTGCCTTGATCCACCGACATCGGCCTGAGCTGATTGACTACGGGAAGCTGCGGAAGGTACGTGCGGTGGCTCCCGGCTGCCAGGTCCCTGCCAGGTAGGGGGGAGGTAGAAGGGCAGGCCTGGGGCCCTCTTCTGAGAGCCCATGGCCACGGTCAGGGGTGTCATTCCCCTTAGACTGGCCCCAGAGACAGCCTGTAGAAGTCAGAGAAAAGCAACTCCACTATGAGGGCTACTTGGGTTCCCTGTGTGCACAGCATGCATGTTCTTGCTGACCCAAATAGCCCACAGCGTATTAGAACCCTGCAGCATGTTGTTGGGGTGATGGGATCTTCACTCACGTTTTCCCCTTCTATTTTCTGGGGTTTATAAAATGGTTATAGTACTTCCACAATTTAAGCTATTGCATGTTAGAGGCATTTGCTCCCATCCAGGTCCAAGACTTGCTGTACAGTCCCAGCAGATTTCCACCAAACTCATTGCTGAAGCTTGGCTGGGGGATTTTCTTTAGCTACTGCTTAATTTCACTTACGCTCTTGGCTTGAAGCCGCTGGGGGATTTTCCTGAGCATGTGTATGTATTGAGGAGCAGACCAGGCGGTGGGAGCTCTTCTGGTGTCGGGGCTGGCCTAGACCTTGGAGAGGCCTGTCGGGGACCACTCTGACCTCACTCACCAGCTTCCCTGTGAGCCCATCCCGGTGCCAAGAGGCCACCCGTGGAGCCCTCCCTACACCCTCAGCTGATGGTCTAGAGCTCGAGTTGGAATGTTGCCGGTCCGTGCGTGAATCTCTTGACAAGGCAGCTTCTAGGAATGCCTGTTCTTACATTTCTCCACTTGACCCTGACACTTGGAGAACACAGTGTTCAGTGAAGACCCCCACCTGGCTTGTGCCCCCAGAGGCCAGGCTTGATGTTGCCAGTGCGGGAGCTGCTCTGGCAAGTCCATCATGGTGTCAGGGCCTTAGTTTCCAGGGTGTGGGGGAGAAAAGAAGTAGACTCCCATATCCTCCAGTCACTCGAAGCCAGGCCGAAGCCTGAGGCTGGGCCCCGGGCCCACCTTGTTTTTTTGTTTGTTTGTTTTTTTAAGATTTTATTTATTTATTTGACAGAGAGAGAGAGAGCACAAGCAGGGGGAAATGGGAGAGGGAGAAGCAGGCTCCCCGCTGATCAGGGAGCCTGATGTGGGACTCGATCCCAGGACCCTGAGATCATGACCTGAGCCGAAGGCAGACGCTTAACTGACTGAGCCACCCGGACCCCCCTCAGGCCCACCTTGTGAAGGAGAGAAGCCCATGGCTTGGCCCTGCACGTGTCTTTGGTCAGGGGTCCAGCTCTTCCCAAGCCACCGTCTTAGTGGGTGGGAGGGTCCCTGCACTCCAGCTCAGCTGCCTCGCAAGGAAGAAAATCAGGTTGAGAACCCCCTGACTTACCCGAACGCTGTGTGGCCGAATTAAACAGCCGAGGCAGGAAACCCTAGAGGTGGCGATCTTTTTCTTTCAAAGACATCATCACACACCTCCTTACTGTTTGCCTGATGCACCTAGGTGATAGTTGTGCGTGTGTCTGTTCCTGTGTCCGTGTGCTGGGGTACAGACGGTTAACCCATAGCTGTCTGCCACCCCATATAGAGAGGGGCCCTGCTGACTGTAGCTCTCCAGTCCCTCCCCCCATGCCACAGAGTGTAGGGTCTTGGCTCTCTGGGAGGTGAGAGTCTAGGGCCCTTTGCTACCCAGCCAGCTGCCCACCCCCGCATGTCTTGTCTTTTCACTGTTTCACTGTGTCTGTCTCTCCTCTCCTTAATTCAGTAGCATCAGTAAAATCCAGTCCAAATCCTAGCACAGACCTGGTCCCACTGAACCATGGATGCTTTCCAGAAAGCACAGGTTGCTGGAGCCAAGTGGCGTTTGAACGTAGGGGAGAGCTGTGGGGCTCTGGCCAGGATGCTCTTCCTTCCCGCTGTGGCCTTAGCTGGGCCTGGGAGCCTGGCTGTGCCTGGAAACTGAGTGTGGCCGGCGGGTGTAGCCCGGGGCCTGAGGGCTGCTTGAGGCCCTGGACGGAAGTGACTTTCACTGCTTGGCATTGTTTTTTTTTTATCATTCTGGAAGCTGTCAGCAACTTTCCCAGAAGGACTCCACCTTCTCTATTTTGAGCAGTTTCTTCCTGAAAGCATCCTGGATGAATGTATTTATTTCTTTGTAACTTTGTGATTCTTGTCTTTGCAAACGGGGACACTGAGTCCTGGGCTGGAAAAACCAGGTTGCTGTAGGTTAGTCTGGGGAGCCAGGAAATAGTGGGGGAGGACCCACAAGAAACTCCCATTGCTATGTAGTGGTTTTTTTCCCCACGTTAAAAAAAATTTTTAATTCTGGTAAAACATAAAATGTAACATATGTAAAAACACAAAACATGTATGACATAAACACTTGAGCCATGCTGAGGTGTACAGGATGGTGGCAGGGACGTGTCTCCCATGCTCTTGGTCCTGCACAACTGAGACCCTGCACCCATGAAACCATCATGCCCCGCTCCCCACTCCCCCGGCAGCCACCATCCTACTTTCTGACTCAATGAACTTGACTACCCTAGATGTCTCGTATAAGTGAATCATACAGTATTTGTGTCTGGCTTATTTCCCTGAGCGAATGTTTTCAAGGCTGACCCAGGTGGTAGCAGGTGTCAGAATCTCCTTCCTTTTGAAGGCAGGATGATAATCCATTGTATGGACATCACATTGGTTTGCCTGCTCATCTGTCAGTGGGCAGTTGTATTATTTTTGCCTCGTGGCTCTTGTGAAAATTGCTGCCATGAATATGGGCGTGCAGATATCGGTTTGAGTCCCTGCTTCCAGTTCTTTGGGCTGTATACCCAGAAGTGGGACTGCTGAGTCATATGGCAGGCAGGCCGAGGTTTAACTGCTTGAGGACCCTCCATACTGTGTTCCCAGCAGCTGCACTAGCTTGCATTCCCACCCACGGTGCCCATGGGCTCTGCTTTCTGCACATCCTTCCCAGTCCCCAGTCTGTGTTCTGGAGATGGTAGCAGAAGTCAGAATAGTCAAATTGTGGCTGTTTGAAGGAGCTCCCAAAATTTCATGGAATGCGAGCAGCTTGAGGTCTCCTAGTCCGACTCCTAAATAGCAGAGGGGAAGCCAAGGGTGGGTTGCTGAGCAGTCGCACCGGCTCCTGGCAGAGCTGAAACCAGGAGCCAAGACGAGCAGCACCCAGGCCTGTGAACTGCTCCCGGTGTGTACTTCTTAGCCGTTCTTTCTTGGGCTGCAGGCCAGTATGCTTCACGCTCTTTCTCTGACCAACTGAGACTTGAGGAGGAAAAATGGCACTTTAAATGCCCACCCAGCAAGCTCTAGAGGGGAAGCCGGCCTTGTACACCCAGAGCTGGGCCCTGGGGACCAGGGGGCCATAGACATCCTCTCTGCACCCCCGTCTTTGATCACCCAGGTGTGGGTGACCAGTGGCTTCTTGGGCCCCCCATGCCTTCATCCTCTTCTTCCTCTAGGACGACCCACTCACAAATCTGAACACAGCCTTTGATGTGGCAGAGAAGTACCTGGACATCCCCAAGATGTTGGATGCTGAAGGTAAAAGGTGTTTCCTTCTGTGCCTGCAGCTCTTCTCTCACCTGCCCTCCCCCCTCATCCCCCCCACCCCCCACTCCGTGACCAAGCTGGGTGGGCCCCAATGGCCGAGGTGGGAGGGGAAGAGGCCTGGCTCTGCGACCTCATCTGGGGAGCCCCGGGGGGCACGTGCCTATCAGGGATTCCTCATTCCCTGCCGTTTGGAGGGGAGGCTAGCTGGTGCCCTTGAGGCTGATCTGCATCAACTGCCTGTTCTTATTTCTGTCTTGGAGCTGGGGTGGTGGGTGCTGGGGTGGAACACAGTGTTCCTTTGTTGTAGGGGAGGGAAAAACTCTTTTCCCCTACTTTCTTAGGCACTCCAGCTGGGATCCTGTAAATTAGACTGGCAAAAGACAGATTAACAAGAGAAAAGCAAAGAGAAGTCTATTAACATGTGCATTCACAGAGAGCTCTCAGTGATGAGTACTTCGCAGGGGTGGTTAGGAATTTGGGGTCTATATCCACACCTAACTTGTAGGGGAAAGGGAGGGGATATCCAGCATTTATGGAAAAGCAAGTGACTTTTTAGAAAGATGACTGGGCCCTTAGGTGACTAGGAGGGAGAGATGATAGTTGGTGACAATGTCTGTCTGGGACCATTTTCCAATCTGTGCAAAAGCAGGAAGAATAGTATATAAACTTCCATATAGCCATCATCCCAAAGAAACAATTAGATTTTGCCACTTTTTTCCCCTTTTGTTTTCTTAGTTGAAATATTTTAAAACAAATCCCAGACATCACAGCATTTCACCACTACATACTTCAGAATACATACTTAAAAATTTGGATATCTTCTTATGTAACCGTAAAACAAATTTCATACCTAGCAAGGTGACTAATTCCTTGATATATCTACTGCCCAATTCAAAATAAAATTTCCCCAGTTGGTTCTTTCGAGAGTTGGTTTGTTTTAATCAGGTTCCCAATAAGTCTGCACGTAGCATTTAGTTGTTCTGTTTCTTCTGTCTTTTCCCGTCTGTAGCACCCCCCTCCTCCCTCCGTTCCTTTTTATTCCTGCCACTGAACTTGTTGCAGAAACGGGGCCAGCTGCTCGTGGAACGTTCCTTATTCTGGGTTTGTCGTTTGCTTCCTTGGGACACTGTTTCTCTGCTCCCTCTACCTCTTCTATTCCTGTAAGTGGAGGTTGATGCCAGAAGCGGGTAGGATTCAGGCTCAGCATTTGGGCAAGAAGACTTGGACGTTCTGTAAACTTCTTTCCAAGTCACATCAGGAAGTGCATCACGTGTTCGCCAGCTGGCTTTTAACTCCAGATATTTCTTGACAGACATCGTCGGAACCGCCCGCCCAGATGAGAAAGCCATCATGACTTACGTGTCCAGCTTCTACCATGCCTTCTCTGGAGCCCAGAAGGTACCTGGGGCCCCCTGCTCCTTCGTCTCGCAGCACACCTGATGCCGAGCCCCAAACCATGCACCCCCACCCCACCCGCCTCTCCCTGGCAACAGGGTCCGGATGGTCTGTCTCTTTGGTAGAGTTAGCTCCCGGTGCCAACGTGGCGCACGCTCTTGCTCGGCTCTCTCCCACCCTGCATCTCCGCTCCTTCTCTCCTCTTCCTCTACAGTCTCTGAGAAGCCTGGGCTAGAGCTCGCCTTCTGGGGCCCAGAGGCCCGGCTTGAGCAGGAAGAGCTGCATGTGTGAAATCAGGCTGGGGGTTCTGGACACCTGGGAGGCACAGTGGGCAACAGCCCCTCTGTGCCCACCTTTGTTGAAGCTACAGGCTTTCACAGAGCCGCGGGGCTTCCCCTGGGGAGGCATCTCCTGTCTCCACTGACCTATTTTACAAAGGAGTCACGAAGCCCCCACCTTTCTCCCAGTCACGGGCATGATTTAGCAAATCTGTCCACAGCTTTTTTGGGCCCTGGTGCCTTTTATATCCTTCTATATCCTGCCTGGGACCCGCATGTGGGGTCACTCTGCACTCTGTGTTCACAGACATAAGCACAACCCCTTGGAGTGCGGGGGGAGGGGGGAGGTGGGCAGCTGTGAGCCCCTTCAAATGCTCTGGCTCAGTTTTGCTCAGGGAGGCCTGAGTTTAAAGTCCAGTTGTGGAGGTTCCGCACTGCACAAGGGTACCACAACTAAAGAGCACCCATTCACACTGCAGACATTGAAGATTTGAATATTTTTGTTACTAGGCTTAGCTCAGGGAGCAGAAGCCCCTCTCCTAGACCCCTCTCACAGGCAGGACCCTGGAAACACAACAGGCCGGGCCTTCGTGGTTTCGGGCCGAGCACCTGTCCCATCACATGGATGTGCTCAGGCAGATTTCCCACCCTCCGCATGGAGTCTGAGTGACCTGTCTCCAAATGCATGATGGGGGTGCTCCCTGCACCTCTGCCCAGCCTTCCCCTCTGCTCTCTCTCCCCCTTCCCTGTCTCAGTCTGTGCTCTCCCCTCCCCACCACTTTCTCCTCGCACCATCTCATTTCTCCTCTTTCTGCCCATCCCCTCATTTGCTGTCTCTGCAACCATCCTGTGTTCTCTCTGGCCACCACGGCTGTTTGGGTTTATTCTGTGCTGCTGCCGCCCCCCTTTCTCCTCTCAACCTCTTCTCCTTCTCTGTGCAGATGTATAGGCACGCTAAGGCTGGATGGGAAGGCCATGTGACCTATTGTTTCATGTCACTGCCACGCCTTCTTGGGTGCGCAGAAGGTGAGCTCTCCCTCGGCCTCGCCCGCTCTCCCTGCCACCCTCCGCCCACCTCTTCCATCCTCCTGGGATGCTCCAGCAACAGTCCCGGGGGGCCACGGCCCCTGCAGTGACAGGAGGGACTTGAGAAGGCCCCGTGCCTCTTGTGTTCTCTGAACCTTGGCCAGGACACCTGAAGACGCCCGAGAGCCCCAGCCTCTGGCTGGCCCCCTGTGTCTCTGTGCGTACACGCTGGGCTTAGTGGAGGCCACAGATGAGAAGGGAGCTTGTGGTCTCAGCTCCTTCCCTGGATCCTGAGTCAAGGGCCCTTATCCCAAGCGGCACAACTCCTGGCTGTGCTTCCTGACTACTCCCTGAAACATCCAGGACCCCTTTGTGTTCTCTCCTTCCCGCTTAGGCAAGACCACCCTCTGAAATTACCCAGCAGGAGAGGCAGGGGGAAATCTTCCTGCCTTCTCCCTGGTATCCAGGCCAGAGGCTCAGCGCCCTTCCCAGCCAGGCCTGCCATGGGCGTGGTGCAGGCTGCACACTCCACAAGGGTGCCATGGGTGCCCCATAGACCATGGAGGTGTGAATATTTCCTGCAGATGGCAGGAAAAATAGGCCCTAACCTATCAGTATGATAGTTTTCCATTAGAAGTGCCTTGGGGAGAGGCGCCTTTAAACCATCCCACAGAAACACCGTATGGGCTAGCGGCAGCCCTGTTCCCTGGCTGGATGGGCACCCAGAACCCTCCCCGCCTTCCTTCCGGGCCTCGCCTCGTTGGCACGGAGACAGGAGAGCTGTCCCGGGTGGAGGCTTCCTCACAGGTGTCCTGGCCCCCCCAAGATCTCCCGCCCCTTCCAACCTCTTCTCTGGTCTGCCTCTTGCTTCCTGTTTCTCTCTGTCCCGCCTCCACTGCTGCTGTCTTGCCAGCTTCTTCTGGCCCCTCTGACCCCCCAACCTTTCAGCCAGGCTGTGAGCAGCATCTGTCTACTTCGGGGGCGGGCCCCCAGCCCTGATAACCAACAGAGGGCCCGCTTGCCTGCGTCCGTAGCTAGAGGGCGCCCTGCTGTGGGGGTTTCCTCTTTCCAGCTCTTCCCCTCCCTCCCCTGCTCCTCCAAGGGTTCTGTCCTGGGCTTCATGCCTGCTGACACTGGCCTTCCCTGTGTCCTGGCTGATGATGGTGCTCGGACGGGAGTGTGTGTGTGTGCGCGCACGCGTGCGTGCGTATGTGCGTGTGCATGGAGCAGCCTGCTTTCCTCCCTCCCAGACCTCATGCCACCTCCCCCCATGCCCTCCTCCCTCCCTCTCATCCTTGTTGCAACCATTTCACGCTCCTTTTGTCCACATTCAAGGACAAGGTCACCAGTGTGGGGCTGGGGGTGGGGCAAGGGTGGTGTGCCTCTCATGTCCTGGGTCGAGAGCCTCTCCCAGAGTCGTCCCGGAACGCTTCTAAGGATCCAGGCAACTGCTTAGAGCCAAGCGGGCCGGGGCGGGGGGAGGGGAAGCTTCGCCCTCTCCTATGGAAGAAGGAGGGTTCTTTCAGACTCACACACTCTTCTTGTCTTGACCGTCTCCATGTCTCGTGCCAGCCGGGGGACATATGCTGAAACCCATGCCCAGGGCCCTCCACCCCCACCACTGTCTTCCTCTTGTCAAGCCTTGTACAGTGGAACTAGAAAGGCAGCGGAGTGCCTTGCATGCACACACGTGTCCACACGCGTGCGCGCGAGCGTGCCAAGTAGTCCACGTACCCGTACAGGCGTATGGCACGCAAGTGCACGTCGTTGGTTTTCCTTGTCGGACGAGGACCGACTTCTGTTGGACATGTTGGTTTGGGTTCTGATTCTTTCTCAGTTTCCTTTTCCCCTCCTCTTCCCCCGTGTCGATATAGAATCAACAGAAAGCACCAGATTTTGTTTATGTAGTTTGTGCTTTAAAGTTCATGGTCTATTGGGAACGATCGTGAGAAATAACCATCTAAGGCACAGACTAGCTCTGCTGTAGGTGTTTCTGGATGCTTTCAGGAGCAGATGGTGATGTTTGCATCTCTCTGGCCCGTCGGTTGCTTTTTTCACATCGTGAACCTCCTGCGGGAAAGCAACCCCATTCCTGCCCTCAAGGGATTCACGGTCCATCTGGGGGAAGCCCTTACACCTAGAAGCCAACAATGGCTGCGGTCCAGTCAGTGCCCGCTTTGCTGCAGACTGAGCGGGGGAGGGGCAGGCTGGAGGGCTGCAGGGCTGCACAACACGCGTGCTTTCTTGAACTTGAGCTTGGGGGTCTTCAGGGTTGAGTAGGGGCCCTCAAGTGAAGAGGTGGCAAGTGTGGGGAAGGCAGTCACGGCGTATGTGACAGCTTGGAGGTGTGACAGCTGCAAGGGGAGGGCGCGTTAGCCCTGCTGGCCGGGGCGCTCCCGCTGCCCAGAGCGAGGCACCCAGGGGAAGCGGGAGATGGCAGGTGGGGAGCTGAGCCCCTTTGCCCACGGGCCCCGCTGGCGGGGACACCGGGGCTGGGTGCTGATTTAGACACAGGGAAGGGCTGAGCTGTGGGAGGAAGGAAATGGGCAATCCTAGGTAGATTTGGGAAATTTTTGACTAAAACGGTCACAGATGACATTTTGGTGGCATTCACGTGAATGCCCGTGGATGGTGGGTGACAGAGCCATTGTGCGTCATTTGGCCACATTTGGATGTTAGACGTCACCTTAATTAACTACCTGGACCAACGAATTTGACGTTGCTTGTTAGAGTAGCAGCCTGGATTGGGATAGCTGAGTTTCATGTGGGATAGCTAAGTTGTTAGTACTCCAGGAATAATAGTCCCTAACTTGGGAAAAACAACACTATTATAAAACCAAACAGATCGTTCTGTGTTAAGCTGTATAATAATATAACTTAAAGTAAGTCATGAAAAAACAAACCAAGGGAAGGTAAACACAAATTTCTAGAAGTCTTCCTTTGGCATTTAGGAGTAATCCTTTTGCCTAGTGTTAAAAATATTTTCTTAGCCCATTAATGATATTTGTGCTTATGTCCTTTATCTCATGCAAATTCTGTTAACATCAGAAAGGCTGGGCAGTCTGGTTCTTCTTCTCGGTTCCAAAGCAGCCCTCCTCTTGCAGGAAGGGTCAGTGTTCTGATGGTGCTTCAATTTCTCTTTCTCTCAGAGAATGAATCTTTCCTCCCCTAGAACAAATCTCTCCTTTGAGCCGTCTTCATGACTTGGTGGTTCTGGGTACCTCTCTCCTAAATCCCCTGTAGTGATGGAGTTCTTGTAGCCACAGGAGAAACAATTTCTAGAAAACTAGAAAGTGGGACAACTGGGGTAGGCATCAGTGCCCCCCCCCCGGCCAAGGGTCTCACTTGCCTTCCACCTCAGCAGGTATGTCCCAAAGGTCTTACTTCCCTGCATGGCCTCTGTGGCCTCCTGGGCTGGGGGTGGTGGATGACCAAACCCTTCTTTGTAAAGGGACCAATGTGGAAGCAGGTGTCACCTTGTAGGCTTCTGCAGGGGGAGTTACACAGTGAGCGAAAGAAACGGGTCAAGGTCTTGAACTTTCTACCTGTCTTTTTTTTTTTTTTTCCCTGAAATTAAATCAGGATTCCAGGAGCCTGCTTCTTTCCTAAAGGGAACTGTGGGAGCGGGGCTGTCCCTTGAGGGCGGAGGCACCCCTGGTGGAGTTTGCAGATGGGCCATTGCCGTTTCTAAAGAAAGTACTCTTCTTCTGTGGTGCCTGTGCTTTCTTTCCAAGGGCAGATATCCTGGTTATAATGATCGGTTTTCTCAGTCTCTCCGGGTGAAGCCACCTGGGCATGGGCAGGCTGAGTTGCAGGCTTGGGAAAGAGGCGGGTCTCTGTGAAAAATCCCCAGGTGGGCCACTGGGGAAGTCCCCCAGATTCATCCAAAGGAGCCTGCCTTGACCCTGGAACAGGCAGCAGGCTCCGGGGGGATGGGCAGGGCTCCCGAGGGAGGCTCCCAGGATCCATCTCCTAAAATTCCACAAACACAGGCCTCATTCAGTCTGCCGGTTTGACAAAGTGAACGCAAGTCAAAGCTTAGGACCACTGAGCCCAGGATTTCAAGATGAATCAGGAGGGTAACAAGGCCAAGGAGGGCTTTATCCATGAAACATCACAGTAATGATACATGGTATCCTTGTTATGGTATCAGTGGTAACTGCTACTTGCCTGTGATGCGTGGCCATCTCTGATTCTTACCCACTTGGTCACCATGCTGGACATAGCTTACCTATGTCAGTACAGAGACCACTGGCTCCCCCGGGTCCCTCTCCCCAGCCTTCAAGGGAAGTGGCCCTAGTGACTTCAGGTGGATTGCTACCCCCAGCCCTCCTCGTGGGGCATGTCGGCCTGTTCCCTATGACCTTGCTCTTTCCAGGGCCCCACAGGGAAGGAATTTCCCTCCTTGTCACCTTTTGGGATTCCCTGTAGTTACCTGTTGGTTTTTAAGAGGAAGGATGATCAATCAGGAGTTCTTCATGAAAAGTGGCCATGGCATCTCCAGGGCAGAGTTGGGCTGGAGGGCAGAGGGGTGAGGGTCTAAGGATGTGGCTCCTTGCCTCAGTGTCTTGAGACCTGGGACTCAAAGCACCCATCCTGTCTTGGAGACCCTCTGGCCATTCCCACAGTTGGACCTGGTGGAGGCCTCCTTGTTCTGACACCTCACCCTAGAGGTGCGATCTCTTGACTTTGAGCTTTAAAAGGACCTTTATGCTGACCTCATTCTGCCCCCTCACACACACACATCCCAGCAGGCCCTCCCAGTACATGAATCAGTGGGTATGTATCCTATTTGAAAAGTTCTGCAAAAAAAAAAAAAATTTACATCTTAATTATTTCTTTTCAGTTCAAAGCACCCTCATTCTCAGGAAATTCTTCCTTATGCCTAGCCTCTGTTTATCTTGCTGCCATAAAAACTCATTTTGTCTTGTTCATCAACCAGTTGTGAGGTCCCATCTTTCTGTCCCTTAAGCCCTTGTCATCTGCAGGGTCACCCTTCTCTAGGGCCCCAGGATGCATATCTGTCTTTTCATCGGCATTATCTGCTCCCACCCCTAGGCTGTCTTTCTATCCCAGGACCCCCAAAAAGGCTTTGAGTTCCCCTCCCCTTGTAGTTGGGTCATGATGTGAAAAGATAGATTTTAAAAATTACCGGAGCGCCTGGTGATATAGGGACATGTGGCCCTTGCTGGTGTTGGGTCCACAGTGCCCTCCATGGCCCCAGAAGGCAGTGTCCCCTGGAGTTTCTGGGCCTTTGCCTCTGATTTCCAGTTAGTCCTCTCTCATTCCTCTCGTCACCAGGACCCATGTGGGGCATCTGCTAGCCTAGCACTCCCTCAGCGCAAGACCCGCACTTAGCCTTCCCACAGGCGCCTAGCTTTCTGGATGTTCTGCCTGTTCTGGGTTGGTCCTATATCTCACCTTCATGCCGTAGAGGGTCTCCGAGCCTTCTCTGATGTTCTTTTTAGGCTTTGAGCCAGGAGCAGATTCTGTAGGGATCCTGAGAGGCCCTGCTGCTTCTCACTAGGCACCTTATTCCAGACTCCCAGCTTTGAATTTCTGCATCTCCCAAGATCCTGGCCAATTCAGCCTGAGAGCCTGAGCCTTCAGAATCCCCAGGGCCTCCACTTGGGATTCTCGGCTGGGCGTGAATTTTCTCACCTCTTTACCTGAACATTTTGATTGTATCAGTCATCACATTAGTGTCTTCCCAACATGCATGATTGGCCTCAAACTCAGGTCCTTTTCCAGGGGCCCCCAGTTCAGCCACCAAGATCTCTCTTTGGGCTCCCTTGATCCGTGGGACCCAGCGTGGGCTGGCAGAAGCTGGCGAGGAGGCGGTGGATTCGAAGCCCTGAGAGCTGCCTTCTTGCCACGTGGAGCTGCAGGGGTGAGAGCTCTTGCTACCCAGGGCTGACCGTGAGCACCCCCTCCCCACCTTTCTTGTTGCCAGGCGGAGACAGCAGCCAATCGCATCTGCAAGGTGTTGGCCGTCAACCAGGAGAACGAGCAGCTCATGGAAGACTATGAGAAGCTGGCCAGCGATGTGGGTACCTCCTGGGTTCTCCTGGCCCGGCTCCAGCCAGGCTCTGCTACCCCACCCTGGGGGAAGAGGGAGCCCCCAGAACCTGTCCCCCCAAACCCGCCCCTGGGGCACAGTCTGAGGCTGGGTGTAGTCCTTGGTCCCAGCACAGCAGATCCAGGGAAGCTTCCACTCCTCACCCATTCGTTCTCCCAGGAGGCAGAGGGGGGCGCCAATCGAGCCGAGTCCCTGGCTTTTTCTCTCACCAACAAACAGTGAGCCTGGCAAACTCTGCACCTCTCTGGGTCTTGTTTTTTTTTTTAACTTCTCAAGTGAGAGCTAAGCCAAGAAAGAGATCTCAGGGGCCTTTCTAGCCTGGTATACTGTTGTTCTGTGAGAGGCTTGGCCTAGAAAAGGAGGACGCCTGGTTCTGCGAGGATGTGACCTGGAGAGGGACCTGTGCTGGCTCAAGCTAGCTTAGCAGCTGGGCCCACCCAGGGGACAGGAGGAGATAGCGCTGGGTCTGCTGTTCTGGGTTTCGCCATTGACTCTATTTGGGTCACTTTAGGCTTTGAGCCAGGAGCAGATGCTGTAGGGATCCACTTGCTTCTTCCTTAAAAGAACTCAGCCTTCTGAGCCTCTGGTGGATCTGCCATCCAGCATACTAAGAACCCAGGTGCCAGGCTTAATCCCTGCTCTTCCATTCTAGCCTCCTCACCTTGGCACCTCACGGTGCTCGGTCACCCCTCTGCAGCCTGGGGAAGGCTCACAGCACCTAACCCCATGGGGTCCCCGTCATTATGCCAGTGAGTTCGTTTGGGGGACAGGCTGGTACCTTGCAGGCGCTCGTTCTGCCTCCTGTGACCACCAACACTCCCCCCGCAGCTTCTCCACTGTCATCACCTTACCCAGGCTGTTCCCTGCCTGTGCCCCAGAAGCCGGCCTCTTCCCTTTTGAGTCAGAGATCCTCATTCTAGAATTCTAGATGGCCAGGTGACAAGGGCCTCGAGAAACAACTGTGCACCCCTCCCTGGTACGGATGAGGACACGGAGGCCCAGCCGGGTGGTAGAGCTGGAACCAGAGCTCGGGTCTGCTCCTAGTCGCGCTGACTTCCCACCAGGTCTGGCAGAGCAGGGAGGTGGAGTTAGCCTCCTCCCCTAGCAGAGAGGAGGCTGGTGGCCAGGCTGCATGAAGGAGCACCCTGGAACCTGGCCTTGTGGCTGGGGAGTGGCAGTTGGGACAGAGTGTGCTGTCAGGAGAGCCCTCCCCCCAGCTTCCACAGCGTGGGAAGGGCCAAACGGCCATCAGGAGGAGAGGGAAGCAGCCCTTGCCCCCGCTCCCAGCATCCTCACCCCTTCCGCCCTCCAGCTGTTGGAGTGGATCCGCCGCACCATCCCGTGGCTGGAGAACCGGGCGCCGGAGAACACCATGCACGCCATGCAGCAGAAGCTGGAGGATTTCCGGGACTACCGGCGCCTGCACAAGCCGCCCAAAGTGCAGGAGAAGTGCCAGCTGGAGATCAACTTCAACACGCTGCAGACCAAGCTGCGCCTCAGCAACCGACCTGCCTTCATGCCCTCTGAGGGCAGGATGGTCTCGGTGAGCGCCGCCCTCCCCGCCCCCCCCGCCACCCCAGGCTGGACCGCCGCCTCCAGCCCCAAGCTGCTCCCGGTCAGGGCAGGACATGTCTTCCCCTGCCTGCCCCCCAGGCTCAACCCCCACACCCCCCACTATTCCAGGCCCGACTTGCCCTGCCAGACCCCAGAATATTCACCTGGACCCCCCAGCACCACCTTCTCCCCCACCCCTCAGAAAACCATCTTGGCAAACAAAATGCCTCTTGACATATTGAACCAAACAGGGCTCGATTCAATAGCAATTAAGATAATTTTTTATTGCCGTGGAATGTTTTTTAAGCACTTTAAAAAAAGTGTATTACCATACAAAAAATGTGATGGATTTTTTTTTTTTTGGTTGGGTATTTCAAAGATACAAATAGGCAAAATACAGAAAATAGAAATTACTCAATCTCAATTACCCAATATCAACTTAAAAAATGTTAGGGTGGCTCAGTTGGTTGGGCATCCAACTCTTGATCTCAGCTCAGGACTGGATCTCAAGGTCGTGAGTTCAAGCCCCGAGTTGGGCTCCATACTGGGCACAGAGCCTCCTTAAGAAAAAGAAAAGATTTTTGGAAAATATTCTTTTAGTCTATGTAAATATAATTTTTAAGGAAATCCTAAAGCATGTTATTTGATAAGTTGCTTTTTAAAAAAAAATTAAAATTATATTGTGAATGGCTTTCCGAGTTGTTAAATTCTCTTCATTTAGGTTACTTAAGTTATTACTGCTTCCCGCTTACCTTGTCCTCAGACTTGGGAAGAAATGTTATGAGCCAGGGAAGCATGCAAAAGAAAATTTAAGAATTCACCAAGATAGAGCTTTTGCCCTTTAAAATGAGAAGTCATGAGGAGGCGTGGGCATATAAGGCGGGAGGGGCCGGGGACAGGCAAAGCCCGTTGGAAGGAGGCGGGATCCCAGGGGACCCTGGAGGAGAGGAAAGAGCTCTGGCCATTGTATCTGCACTTTGGAAAGTGGCTGTCTTTTTACAGATTCCAGGCTAAAACAGCAACTTTTAGGTGGCTAGAGCCCCTGCTAACAGAGGGTGCTCTGTGTGAGTTAGAAGAGCCCCCTCCTCCTGGGTGGATGTAGCCCGTCCCCGGGGCCTCCAGGTGGCATGCAGGCCGGTTCAGCCCCTATCTGCCCAGCGGGCACCCTGTACTAATTGTAGGAGCGACCCTGTGGGTGGCTCTCTGTCTGAAGGGCTGTGGGTTTGTGCTCAGCAGCTGTCACTGTCCTCAGATGCTTGGCCAGCTCGCCCGGACCAGGGTCTCTGCAGGCTCCAGGCTACTGCCCAGAGCTCATGAGCAGATCCAGAGATGTGGGGAGCCTGGGAGGCTCCCATGCCTGCTTGCCTCATTCAATTGTTGCTCTTTTCCCCTGGCTGGCCCTACATTCTCTGTGATTGGTCAGCATCCTGGGCCACAGAGGGCCTCGGGCTCTTTCCGCACAGAGCTGCACGCCCAAAGCCCTATAGCTGGGTGGCCCTTGTGGACTTGGGGCCTCACTCCCAGCCCAGGAGGCCTGGTGCCCAGGAGCCTGGGAAACACCAGTGTGGGGCTGGGTGGGCGTGGCTGAGATGGGGAAGGGGCTTCTTCTAGAAGGCATGGGGCAGCTGTGGTGGGTCTCGGGGGCCAGGAGGGGCTGACCCTGTGCCTCCCATCCCTACAGGACATCAACAATGCCTGGGGCTGCCTAGAGCAGGCGGAGAAGGGCTACGAGGAGTGGCTGCTGAATGAGATCCGGAGGCTGGAGCGGCTCGACCACCTGGCAGAGAAGTTCCGGCAGAAGGCCTCAATCCATGAGGCCTGGACGGACGGTGAGGCCAGCCCAGCCTCCTGTTTCCCCCCGGGGGTGCTGGCTCTCGTGCTCCACCAGCTGAACCGCCAGCTACGGCTTCTTTCTCTCTTGCTGCTTGTTTGTTTTGTCTCTTACCAGTTCTTGTCATTAGACAAGTGCATTAGCCTTTTAGGTGTCTCTGCTTCCTCGTCTGTAAAGTGGGGATAATCACAGTGCCAACTTCATAGGTTTAGGGGAACGGAATGAATGGATACCTGGGATAGGATGATGCTACGTATATGTAATTCATTGTTGGTTTTGGTCACCGTGATGATGTCTTCTTCCCTGAGTCCGTTAGGTTGGGGTTCTCATCCCAACTCTGCCACCTAGAAGCAGAGTAACTTTGGACCAGCGATTTAGCCCCCAGGTCTCGTTCCCTCATCTGTGACATGCAGATGACCATGCGCCCTCTCCTGTGTTAGCTTCCTAGGGCCGCCGGTACAAAGGACCAGACACTGGGTGGCTTCACACAACAGAAACGTGCTTTCTCAGGAGGAGGAGGTCAGGAGGAGTCCAAAGCAGAAGGGTTGGCAGGGTTGGCTCCTTCTGGAGGCTCTGAGGACAAGGCTCTCCGTGTTGCTTCCTGGCATCTGGTGGTTGCTGGTCATCCTTGGTGTCACTGGCTTAGTTCAGTCTCTGCCTCCAACCCCCCATGGCTGCTTCTGTGTCTCTCCTTTTTCTAATAAAGGCTCCAGTCATTGGATTTAGGGCCCTCCCTAGTCTCCTATGACCTCATCTTAACTAATTGCATCTGCAAAGACCCTATTTGCAATTAAGGTCAGATTCTGAAGTTCTGGTTTGACATGAGTTTGGGGGACACTGTTCAACTCAGCATGCCTCCTCCTAGGCTTGTTGTAGGAGTAAACATCATAAGGACATTTTATGCTTAGCTGAGCGCCGGGCACATAGAGCCCACTCCGTAAATGGTAGCCCTGGGCATTTTTCCTCCTCTGCCTTCCCTCTTCCTGTTTCCAGCCTCCCATCATAGTGACCCAGAGCCTTTGCCGTGTTAGCACACACGTGTCTCCATTACTCCAACTTGGAGGCACTTGGGGCCATGTCTGGTGTCTGCTTGTTGGCAGCTGAAGTTAACTCCAAAGAAAGAAAAATCACACCTGGAATAGTCTTTTCCTCTGGAGAGGGACCCACACTGCCTATCTCCTAGGGTCCTGCGGCCGCTGCATCCGGAACCTCTGGGGCAGACCCTCTTGGCTGGTGGAGCGCAGTGTCTCCACTCTCCCCCAGTCAGCTCTGTCGTGCTCCTCAGATCTTGGGCTGGAGACCATTAGGGACGGCTGTACCCTGTGGCGTGGTGGGGGATGGGAGCGTGCTTGACTCGGCCTGAGGGGCTTGGGTTTAGCTCCACGTCGTAAGTACGCAGGGATGCAGGTTGCTCTCCGCGCCGCCTCCGCCGCACGTGTAGGAAGCTATTCATCCAGGTGCGCCTGGTGCAGGGTGGAAGGGGGGATCGCACCAGCTCACCCACATGTTTCGATCATGTCCGCTCCAGGGCCTAGGTGCAGCTCACAGAAAGGTACCGAGCAGGGGCCGGCCCCGTCAGCCGGCCCGCCACCAGCTGGTGTGCGGGCCGTAGACACCGGCACCACCTCTGGGCAAAGCAGTGTGGCTGCGCACGTCCACGCCTAGCCGTGGCACTGCCTGCTGACCCGGGAATTCTTGAGACTGTCTAAAGAATTAACCCTGAATGTAGGGAAATCACACGTCCAGAGAGATTTGCCGTGAGACCCTCTCTAATAGCATAAGCTGAGGGGCCTGGATGCCCCACAGTAGCGTGGCAGGTGGTCATGCCAGTGGTGGCTCAGCCACGGGAGGGGACACATGCGGCAACTGGAGCCGGAGCAGAGACTGATGACGTGCTGCTGAATGTTTGAAAGGCAGGAAAGACAGCTTACATATACCTGCTGGTTGTAACACAGCATCTGTATAAGGAAAGATGGGAATGGAGTAGATAAGTAGGCTCAGCTGTAATTTCTTTCCCCCTAAACTTGTCATATTATTATTCTGACCTAAAGAAAAAAAAAGTGGAGGGGCGCCTTGCTGTCATGAGACTCTTGATCTTGGGGTTGTGAGTTTGAGCCTCACCTTGGGTGTAGAGATGACTTAAAAATAAAACCTTAAAAAAAGGGGCACCTGGGTGGCTCAGTCAGTTAAGCGTCTGCCTTCGACTCAGGTCATGATCCCAGAGTCCTGGGATCGAGCCTGCATTGGGCTCTCTGCTCCATGGGGGTCTGCTTCTCCCTCTGCCTCTGCCCCTCCCCCTGCTCATGCTTTTTCTCTCTCAAATAAGTGAATAAAATCTTTAAAAAT